TCAAACCAAAACTCAAGTTAGAAACGGAGCTTTTGAAAGCAAAATCTTTGAAGCTAGCTCATTCAATTGCTGATAAGCAGAATTGGACGATTCAAGACAAAAGCAGCAAAAAGATAAGTTCTTTCTTTTTTAATAAATCATAACATTCTTAAACTAACAACACAGGTTTATCATACCTTTGCTCTTCCCTCGTATCTAAATAAGATCAACCTTAGCATGCAAGCAGCAGAAATCCAAAGTACCAATGAGTTGCAGAAAACAGACAGACAATGGGAACCAGCATCATAAACCTGAGCAAATTTAAAGAATGGAATTAAAGCAATACAACCCAAATGTTTTTTTCAAAAATAAATGTTCTTATATGCAGGTTCAACAAGAGGTCTGAAAAGCTGAGCATTTAGAGAATAAGGAGTACCTTGAAAACCTCCGCATTCACAAAATAAAATCCGGTGACCCTTCTTCACGGGATTTCAACGCGTCGACAAGCCACACCAGCGCTTTCCCGCCAAACCCAATTGGGAGTTTCGATCTAGGCTTGGAAATGCAAAGCAGCTCAAAATTCGACCACCTCTTGTCCCGGACCAAGGCTTGGTCTAGGCGGCAATCACCATTAAGCACCTCGACCACCGTATAATTAACCCTGCTCTCCAACCCGAGCAAAAGGTCGAGGTTGCGGAGCCCGACATCGGCGTCAATGGCCACCACCGAGAACCCGAGGCAGGCCAGCGAGAGACCCACATTTGCGGTGGTAGTAGTCTTTCCAACTCCACCTTCCCTGGAGGTGATCACAACGCACGGAGTCTCCCCTGCCAGCTGCGGCTTCCTATTCCATTGAAGGGGGATGCAATGGCGACTGAACGCCTGGGTTTTGGGTAGGATTTTAGGGTCTTGGTAGGGTTTAAAGGTTTGAAACGAAGGACACAGCGACATGGGTTCAGCATTTGCAGGGTAGAATTGCAATCACAATTAAACACCTCTGGCAATGGGATCCACCCCCATCTCGGCAATATCCCAAGCAACTGGAGCCATAACAGCAGATTTTGAAGGATTCCCCTCCATCAAAACAGAAAAATGGCAAAGAAGAAGAAAGAAAATGCAAGAACCAAAAGAAGCAATGACTGGAACAGAGCCAGAAACCGCAACCGAATCAGAGCCAGAAATCATGGCCGGAACAGAACCAGAAGCAATCACTGGAACGGAGCCAGTAGCAGAAGTCGGAAGCGAATCGGAAGCAGAGGGATTAACGGCCATCACAAGATAACCGGCCAAGATCAAGCCACAAGATCAGAGAAATTTTCCTCAAACGGAAGAAAACAAAAAGAGAAAAGGAAGAAATCAAGAGAAAACAAAAAGAAAATCAAGAGGAAGTCAAACAAAAAGGAAAGGAAGAATCGAGAAACTCAAAAAGGAAACTCCATCCAGCCAAAAAGGATAAATTGCATAAAATCCCAAGAAAGTTGGGGTTTGAACCAAAAGGGGGCAGCCGTACCAAAAGCCATACAACGGGGCCACGTATACAAAGATTGCTGCCAAAAAGTAGAAAGATTCAAGAAATGCAGCCGTAAAAACGTGGAAAATCAAGAAAGGACCTGAACAAATCTACAAAGTAATTAATCTCAAACAGAAACTTTTAATAAATTGCGTCAGGAATCGCAAAGAAAAAACCTGTGCTGCACTCTTTTTTCCTTAAACTAGATTTTTATCCCACAGGGTTTTTTCTAGTTAAGGTTTTTAACGAGGCAGTCATGGTTAAAAAGCAAGAACCTGCGCAGAATTCAAATCTAAGATCAGCAGAGCAAAAAGGCAAACACTTGTTGAAGTTTTCGTTATCCTCAAACTTCTTCGTTGGGGGCAAATGTTATACCCTAAAAGTAAGTCCTATAATAATTAGGACACGTGTAGACAATCTAAAGACAATCCTATCAATATAAGGATAGAATAAATCCTGATAGGATAAGAATACCCAAACACCAATTAAATAAAATTGTATTCCTAGAATAA